ATAGTCTTCGGTTCCATTCCATTACCAGGAAATGCTATAATTTCATTCTTCTTTGTGGCTGAATAATATAATATTCCTGTGTGTGTATAAAAAAAATGTATATATATACACACACATATATATGTATATATATGTATATTTAAGTATATATGTGGTTACGTGAAATTCATATTTTTATATATAAATATGAATTTCATATATATATATATATATATATATATATATATATCTCCTTATCTTTATCCATTCATCTGTTGAAGGACACCTAGGTCAGTTAAAGTATTTCTAATAGAGTCTAGGTAATTTTCATGATGCTACTCTTTTCCCATAGGTAAAATTATTGATATCAGTTATTAAAGATATCTTTTGCCAAGTTAAAGAATTTTGCTTATTGAGAATTTTATAGACCATTATTATCAAGGAATTATTGCCTTGAATTTACAGTATCCATTAAGATGATCCTGTTTTATCTTCTTTAAATAGTCAATGAAATTTTATTTAATAACACTTATAGATTGCTTATTCTGTGTCAGATACTAACCTCAGGGATTTTATATGTATTACCTTATGAATTCTTCTTACCACTCAATAATGTAGGTTCTATAAATATTTCTATTTAGGAGATGAAGGAACTAAGACACAAGAGTTGTATATAAATCTAAAGCCAGGTTTGAATACAGATTTAAAATTGGATTTCATATTCTTGGAACTCTTCTTAGATCACGCTAATATATTAAACACTTTCACCCAAATTTTCTTTAGGAATTTTTATTAGATCAATCTAGAAGTCTCTTTTTTGTACTATTTTTGTTAAGTTCTGAAAAAGGATTGTGTAAACTTTATAGAATAAATTAGAAAGTTTTCTGAGATTGCATTCACCCTCATCTCCTGGTATTTATAACCTTCGTATTCTTTCCCATATTATGACAGAACTAGTTTATAAATATACAAACAAATAGTAAAGGGCAAAAGTGATAATACATAATTTCCAAACTTAGATCAATGACAACAACAAAGAGTGTAACTTCTTTATTGTACCCTCTTTCTGTCAAATCATTCAATGTATTCTGGAGAATCCAGATGCCATGTCTTAAAGTGACTCTAGTAATCTTGTGAAGAGGTGTAAGAAGAGGAAAACTTAAAACTCCTCATACTTCAGCTGGAAGGAACTGACTGTTGTCAACTACTATAAGAGAAAGTTTATAAGTGGATGCTCCAGTCTCCACTGATAATAACACCAAAAAACAACTGGCCTGTAACCTCCTTGAGAGATCCTGAACTGAACAACCTAGTTAACACACTTTTGGATTCTTCACCCTTAGAAAATGTGAGAGATAATAAATGTGTATTGTTTTAAGCTACCCAGGGGCAATTTTTTATGCATAAATAGTACACTTTACAATATCAATATTTCAATATCAAAAGAATCAATAACTAATAAGAAAATCTAGTGCTTTGGGGAAGGCATTTATTTAACTAACTTTTAGATTATTCACTAGGAAAATTAATTTAGAATTTTTTAAACCTCTAAATTTAAAAATCAAAAAAAAAGAAGAYAAAACCTTGGGCATTTTCCAAAAACATCAATTTCTTCTGAATTTCAAAAATTCCAATATATAATTTAAAACTTTCTTTTATATCTATAAATATATTACCTTCTAATTTTTGATATTTTTTTCATTTTTTAAAATTAATTTTTCAACTCACAAGTGGTTCACCTATTCCCTCTCTCCCCAACATGGAAACAATTATAATGAATCTATGTAGGATACTGATTTTAAAGATTTGGATCTTATTTAATTAGTATTATTATTTTAAGAAGGTCTCCTTATGTTGCCCAGGCTGGCCTTCAACTTCCAATCCTCATATTTCATCCTGCTGAATAGCTAAAATTATAGGAGTGTGCCATAATTCAGTTTTAATTAATTTTTTCATATCATCATTATTGTTCTTTCTTCTATTTAATTTTATTATCCATGTCCCATTGATATTGATCATGAAATAATCTTTATTATCTATTTTATAACATCTTCAATGAAAGTTTGATTTTTTGTTTACAGCAGGTACTATTTAAATTTTATACAATTTTGTATTTTTAAAATAGTTTTACTTTAATCAACTTTATTTTGAAAGTGGCTAGAAAATATAGATTCTATGACTATAATTTTGTGAATATTATAATTAGTGTTGCTACCTATACACAAATTAATTATACTTGAATTTTAAAATAATGCTTACTTTCTTGTTATTCAGCAAAAAATTTCCTCTTGTAATTTCTATTTAAATCCCTTTAATCATCACTCATTCTTGTTTCCATAACTAATTAATTTCTAAAATAAGTAATATCCTACCTTGTGAAAAACTTTCCCTCATTTGGATATACYTTAATATTTGAGTAGAATATATTTACACTAACAGCTGTCTTCCAACTCTCACCTGTTCTAAATGTATACAGGATTGTGTGTTTATGCATATTAAACAGACCTTAAGAAAAAATCAGATTTGGGAAAATATTTGAGCAGTAATTTATTTTATAACTACTTTATAAAGATGTAAAGTCATATGATTAATAATACTTTTTTTCGATTTTTGACATCTATAACCTATAAATCATCCACAATTTCTGCATTATCTTTAACAAAGAATCTTTCTGTCCTCTTTCTGCTAAAATAAACAAAGATTTACATAAAACATGACTAGAAAATTAGCAAGGGATCTTTAAATTATTATAATTTGGACAATGTTTGAAACTGAAATAGAAATTTTTATAATTTCTAAAAATTATAATAGAAATTATTATAATTTGGACAATGTTTGAAACTTAAATAGAAATTTTTTTATGAAKCAGTAATATTTTAAAAGATTCTCAATCATTACTTTCATGCATATTAAGTTCTTAATTATCACTCCAAAAATTGCTTTACTATCTTCTTATACAAAAGTTAACTTACGTATATCTTGAAAATAAATTAAATACCTTCAGATTATATTTATGAGCTTTATCCAAAATAGTTGGTACCAAGTTATCAGTAGCTTCTCCATTCTCATCACTTGAATCAGGTGGGTACCAAGATAGAGCTAGTACACCTAATAGAAAAAAAGGAGGAGGGAAAGAAAAAAAAAAAAAAACAGGAAACAAGATGATTGCAAGTAGTCTAAAAAAGGCAAAATAAGTTTCAAGTAGTTAACAGTATGAAAGGATAATTAACAATAAAAGAAACATATTCAAAAGAGCTTATTACTTTCTTCAGGCCACATAATATGTTAGTTTGTTTAGCCAATATTTATGAACTCTTTATCAACAAATTCTTTTTAATATCAATGTTTTAAATTAATACACTTTTGTTTTCACAATAAGTTTAAGGTTTACAGGAAAATAAAACAAAAAGTACAAAGTGCTCATATATATCTGCTACCAGCCTCCAATATCCCCTTCCCAGTTTTCCTATTTAGCATCTTACATTATTGTGATACATTTGTAATAACTAATAAACTAATACTGACACATCATTTTTAACAAAACACCATAGTTTATATTAGGATTCACTGTTTGTACAATTCTATGCATCTTGAACAAATGTATAATGTCACATGCTCACCATTATAGTATCAGACAAATTAATTTTACTATAAATCTCCTGTACTCCGTCTATTTATTCCTCCTCCATCTTCCTTTCACTCAGGGCAATAATTGAACTTTTAACACTGTCTATAATTTTGCCTTTTCTACAATGTCATATAGTTGAAATCATAAAATATGTAGCTTTCCCCAAATGGCTTCATTCACTTAGCAATTTGCATTTTAGTTTTCTTCATGTCTTTTCATGGCTTGATAGCTCATTTCCTTTTACTACTGCATAATATCCATCAAATGGATGTTTATCCATTTACCTATTGAAGGGCATCTTGGTTGCTTCCAATTCTGGGCAATTATGAATATAGCTTCTATAAATATTCACATGCTAGGTTTTGTGTTTATATTATCTGTTAACAGCAGATTTAAAAAAAAAGAAAAATAATTATAATTTCTCCCTGTAATACCTGATTCATTTTGCACTGATAAATTACAAACTGTTAGAAATATCAGTTTGCACAGAAATCACTAAGTATATTGGGAATGTTTAAGATCAACTTATCCAAAGCTTCACATATAAAGTAATATGAGGCTATTAGAAAGATGACACTGATTATTTAATCAATCAATAGACTTTTTAATACAGGGAGTCAAAAGTAATAGTAGTAAAGGAGAAGTTTGTGGAAATTAGGAAATGAATGTTTAGAAAATATGAGAAAGCTAAATTTAAAGATTTGAATTACAGTATAAGTACTATGTAAAAAAGAAGTTCCATTAGAGGAACAAAATAGTATTTTCTTTAAAGTTGACCAAAAAAAAAAAAAAAGTCTATGTCTTCTGTCCTTTCTGAAACTACAAATAGCAAGAAAATGAAAGACAGAAAAGGGAACCTAAAACACATGGGGTTCCAGGAAAGCTCTGACTAGCCAAAGAGGGCATCACAATCTAGAAAAGGATGTTTGTGAGAAAAATGTAGGGAAAAACTGATCAAATATTTGAGCTGCCTACTAGCCCCATTAGTAATACCAACAATAAAGAGTGACAGTAAAAAACTTCCAACATGTGGCCTATTAAAAAAATTTACAAAAGATAAAAAGTGAAAAAGAATATGAAAAAATAATAAAGATCACACAATAGAAAGATTATGCCACAAACCATGTTAAAATTATGAGCAAAGCATTCTTCCATAAAATTAAACAAGGTTCCTGTTTCTAATGACAGTGGAATAATTTCTAAAAATGGTGTAAAAGTAAACCAATACTCCCATGAAAACAACCAAAATTACTAGGTAAAACATGAATAACAATAAATTTCTTAAAGCCAAGAAACTGAAGGAAGAACTACCTAGCCAAACTGAAGGGTGAATGGAAAGCCAGGGAGGTAAATTAGCAAGGAGGCCAGTTTGTTCCAAGCACAGATAACAGAAGCAAACTGGTTCTCAAAGTCAGGGGATTACATTCCAGGTTCACAATGCTTATATAGTTCTATATCTTTAAACTCAAATTAAGATGAGTCATGACTTGGTATTCTCAATAATTGCCAGGCAAAAACAAAAAGTAAATTTTCTCAGGAGGAAGGGATCTTCCCCCTGAGTTTCAAACTACTGTGAAAAGCATTTTTTAAAGAATAAAAAACAGTAATGCATTAACAAATAATAAAGAGCACAAGTAAATAAAGCATCAAATACAAGAATCAACAAAAACCAAAAGTCAATAGAAATTAACATGAAAAACTTAAGATATCAGCAGTACAGATATTTAAAACAACTATCTTCATAGTTTAAAAGATAAACATTCACTTCAAAAATTTCAAAATATTGTCATATGTCCTTTAGACAGTGGGGTGGGCTTTGAAGATGTATTTAAATATCTTACTTTCAGTTACATGAGCAAATGATACATTAACCTTTCTTGTTTCTGTGGCTTTATCACCAAACACATAATTTTTACTCACAAAGGTATATTTTAAATATGAACATAAAATTCCAATTTCTAGTACACTGCTCAATAAATTTTGTTTCCTTTTCCTATCATGCTGTTATTTCTCACTTTGATCCCTCACTCCAACCTCAGTGCGCCTCCTACCACATAGGATAGTTTTGTATCTTAATACAATAGTATCCAAATTATTTCTGTACTTTTTCCTCATCTTCATTACACTCTAGTCTCMTGCTGTCCAACTTGATACACACTTATCAAACAACTTAAAATTTTAAAAATATGTTGTTCACTTAACTAACCACATTTCCAGTGCCCACTAGCCATATATGGTCAGTAATATCTACTGTAATAGATAGTACTTATATACAACATTTTGATCATCACAGAAAGTTCTATTGGATAGCAACTACCAAACAATTCTGGTTATACTACAACATGCTAACCACTTCAACCCAAGCTAGTGACTTCTCTTCCTCTCACATTCTCTCTACTGGTATAATCCATGGCTTGGGAAGAATTTTTTTTCTCTTTTACTGTTATTATGTTTCAGATTCTCTATTGCATTGATTATGGATTCAATATATCTAATTCTATCTTCATACTGTGCTTCACAGTTCAATTTATGTTTGTGCAGTCTGGTTCTTAAAAAATCTGAATACAAAAGGGTTGGGAACAAAACCATTTATGGTCCAATTCCAGAAGAGGATTAGAAAATTTACAATGATAATGACTCCATGATAGTAACCTCTACAGTAAGCCAACTGAGCAAGAAATAAAGCTCAGTGGTGGAATACTTGCCTAGCACATATGAGGCCTTGGGTTTTATTGCTAGTGACATAAAAAGGAAAAAAAAACTGTCTAACTAAAAGAAGCCAACTGAATATCTGTATTATTTATACGTAAAATTTATTACACTCTATCATTCCAACTGCTTATTCAACTAGGAAATTCTCTGAAATTGATTCTAGGAATATTAATATACAAGATAGAAAAACCCATGTCATATTCATGCCATCCCTTCAAAGCAATTATCATATAACCTTTAATATAACTCATATGCAATGATTTTTAAAGTTAAATGATGCCTCTAAGTGGAGTAATAGTTAATAATATATTATAAAATCAGATACACCTAGAGAATCAAGTACTGATTTTCTCACTAGATAGACTTATATTTGTAGATCATTTTACTTAAATTACTTACATTCTACTTAAATTACTTAATTTCACACCTATAAAATTAGTGAATTTTTTTTGAAAATTAATAAGTCCCTTGTAATAGAATCACCATTAAACTAAAAGCAGACTTTGTAGTAGAAATCTTATAGGCCAAAGAGAATAGTATGATATATCCAAACTTCTGGGGCAGGGGAAGCTAATTAAGAATACTACACCCACCAAAACTTTCCTTCAGAAGTAAGGGAAAAATTAAGACTTTCCAAGACAAGAAGAAGTCAAGCTAATTTATTAGCCCCAGAGTGGTTCTACAACTGCTTAAGGGAGTCCTATACTAGAAACAAAAAGACAACAAGTACCCTAAGAAATGCATTAACAGTACAAAATTCAAGAAAAGAACATACATGAAAAAGAAAGAAGAAAATTGAGCCCTATCAATGCCAAAAAACTTAACAAAAACAAACAAACAGACAAACAAAAAATCCCAAAACCAAATCACAAAAATGAACAAGACAGGACAAAAGGAATAGGATATACAAGAGAATAGAAAAAAAAAATAGAATGGCAGTAGTGTATCTTTACTTACATTAAAAGTCTTAAATGTAAGTGGAATAAATTYCCTAATTAAAAGATACAAACAGACTGAATAGACTAAAAGCAAACAAACAACAAACCAGACTGAACATGTGCTGCCTACAAGAAACTCACTTAAATAGTAAAGACATACATAGATTGAAAGTGAAGGAATGAAAAAAGGTAAACCATGAAAACCAAAAGTGAGGGGCTGGGATATGGCTCAAGCTGTAGCGCGCTCGCCTGGCAAGAGCGGGACAAGGGGTTCGATCCTCAGCACCACATAAAAATAAAATAAAGATGTCCACCGAAAACTAAAAAATAAATATTAAAAAATTCTCTCTCTCTAAAAAAAAAAAAACCAAAAGTGATCAAGAGTAGCTGTACTTACATCACATAAAGCAGATTTCAAATCAAAAACTTTAAAAATAAACAAGGAAGGCCACTGTATAGTGATAAAAGGATCAATTCAGCATAGGAAACAACCAAAAATATATATGCAGCTAACAATGAAGGACCCAATTATATAAAGCAAAGTTAYTAGGTCTAAACAATGAAATTCTAATAAAATAAGAGCAGGGTCTTCAAAACCTCACTTCTGTCAATGGGTATATCTTACACACAGGCACACACACAGACAGACACACACACACACACAGAACATCCGCAGGTTAACTAACCTGTGGACTAAATGGACCTAATGGGCATTTACAAATATTTCACCCAACAGCCACAAAATATGCATTCTCTACATCAGCACATGAACATTTTCTTGATGGACCACATGTTAGAACCAAAACAAGTTTTGACAAATTTAAGAAAAT